ATTGAACACATGTTGTAATATTTCTGACCACGTTGTTCCAACAAGAGAAACTATTTCCGTTTGGGATTCTACCTGGCTTTAAAACTTTCTTTTATTTAATTTTTTGCGGGTTTCTATGACTTCATTAATGGTAGGTGGCTAATATTTTCGGAAATATTTCTCTTCTGTTGTTACTTTTCGGAAAAGGAGTTTCAACTAAAAAGCCAACCTTAAATCCCTTAATCCCTGGTATAGCACTTCTATTTCCAATTTTCTTTGTAATACTGTTATATGGGAGATCTCATGTTTCTTTTTTTCTGTGAATTTTTTAATTGCTAAGCGAAGATTTTAGCAGCTACATATCGGTTTACACCCGCTAACAACGTGGACTAGTACGGCACAGGAAACTCGTCGATTCTCAGGGTAACAGTTACTAGATCCACTTAAGATAGTGCAAACAACAGTAAACTTTAAAATGGGGATGTTATACAAGGTAACCAATTGACTACCTTTTCATTACCAGTAGACGGTACGATACTAGTTCCATATTTACAGTCATATACCAGTGAAAAAAGACTAACACCTATCTAGTCCTGTGTTTACGGTTCGATTAACTGTTTGTTACTTGGCTTTTTGGGGGTGGTATATTATTTATTTGCATCTGTCGCATTTCCCTTTACTTGGCGCAAAAAGATGTCAATTGGTTCCCTTCGCAATACTTAGAGACACATTTTGTACTAGTACGGCTTAGAACTAGTACAGTAGTAAAGAAATTCAGTTAGTTGGAATTTTCATTGCTGGCGGGTAGCTTCTTTGTCTCCTTTCTACCCTTTTTAATTTAATGGATAACGCAAATCAGCAAATATCTATCAGTAAATATGATTTTTGTTGTTAACCACTTGCTTTGTTTCTGTCAGAATTATGCCTCTGTAGTTTAAGCATTGAGGTGATCTTTTTTAAGAAGGCAATTCTCTGGTGCCCCAAAAGTTGTTGATGACAGCAAGTATTGCAATTTTGAACTTGTTGATTATCCCACAGAGGTTACTCTGTCGACGGTAACGTTTCGGCTCGGCTGAACATTGAGCATTGAAAAAAGATCGCGAGTTTTTGGTACATGGATTATTAGACCTTCCTTAAGGTCTGATGGCAACTCTCCAGTGCCCCAAAAGTTGTTGATGACAGCAAATATTGCAATTTTGGACTGGGTCGAAACTGTAATACCGTCCACCATTTGGGAGAATCCAATAGTGGACGGTATTAAAGTTTCGGTCCGGCTGAAGTTAGCTACTTATTTACTTGTTATATTTTCATATTTTATGGAATTTTGAATTGTTAAAGGATATTGACTCTAACCGCTTTCTTGATTTATGATGTCTTTTAAATGTGAATATTGTACCAGAAATTAGCAATGGTTGATATATAAACTCGTTGTTAGAATCATTCAGTGTGTAAATATGTGCCCATATATGAAGTTGTGATGGGCTGCTTATGTGAGAAGTACCATGTGGGCCGATTGTAGACTTGTCCTTTGACAATATTTCAACCTGCGATTGATACCAACAAAGCATTCTCTCAAAAAAACATAAAAAAATAATTTATATCTAAATTATGTAAATAACCAAAAATATAGTCCATGCTTTAATATCTAATGGTAGCCTTTTGGTTTTTTACACATGTATTTTATAGTATTAAGGTTTTTTGTAAATTCCCTACAATCAATCATGCATAAATATTTATTGTTTTTTTTTTTTCTTCTTATTATTTTTATTATTTCGCTATTATCATAATTTGTATGTTTTACACATAAAAAGTATATCTTTAAAGCACGACGTATTGTTTATTTTCGACGATAATCATTCTAAACATTTAGAGTGTAATTAAAAACAATTGTAATCAATACTGTTAATAATAATAAAAATCGACAATAACAGCCAGTGTGAAATCCATTCGTTTCCCTTTCTTTCGTTATATAACACAAATAAATCACATTATTTTTATTGGTATACCAAAGTGAATCGTAAAACGGGGAGGAGTATTTAAAGGTGGAGGCCAAATAGTAGCATTTCATCCTTTTTATTTCTGGGAAAGGTTAAAACATAATTCATATATGAGATGGGTACATTATTTGGGGGAGTTTTTATCCATTATATGATGGACGACCTCCACTTCCTCGTGTAGATGGTGTCATGAGGAGGCACACAGTTGAAGTTCTCAGGGCTACATTTTGTGGATATTCTTCCACTTCATAGCACAAGTATTCGTAGACCACACTGAGCCGCATATCTGACCACAAGTCATCCTATCGCATTATAAAAGTTCAAAAAGATCTCCTTGTCCTTGTCAATTTATTGCAGATATATGTGCTTTGCGCGGACGACCTTCACTTCCACGTGTAGATGGTGTCATGAGGAAGAACTCATTTAAAGTTCTCAGAGCAGCATTTTGACAAGTGTGGGTATTCTTTCTCTGCGTAGCATTAATATTCGCAGACAACACAGGGGCCAGATATCTGACCACAGGACGACCTACAGCTTTATAAAAAGGTCAACTTGTCCACACCCAAGGGTTCCCGGTTAGTGCCTTGAGGACCTTGTTCCTACTTTCAATTTATTGGTTTACGCGATTTGAACATGCCTCGGCTGATTCGTGATAGGAATTAAAGGTAACTCGACCAGAAAAATTCAGCTCTGTTCTCATCTACAAGTTGGTGTTGAAGTGGACAGGGGGAAGACGGTTGATTATGTTGTTCAAGGGCACCCTGACACGTAATCGTCATCCCAGTTTCATATTTAATGAACGGGATTTTAATAATACGAATGAATTTACATACTTGGACATCACAATGGGCAAGACGATGAGTTTCATTCCCCACGTAGATCGCTTAAAATAGAAAATGTGCAGTACTGTTGGTGAAATTCGTCGTGTGTTTAGGTCTGTGTATGCGGATCTCTCAACAACGACAGCGTCAGGCTAGGGGTGTCGAAAGATGGCTTGGTTTGTTTGCACAAACGCACAGTGTCTACTGAGACCATGTATGTGTTACTGGGTGTACTACCCTTCGATGTAGAAGTGATTCGTGCAAAAGTGTCTTTCTTGGCCATGACGGGTCTACCTTCTGACTGGGTAGTAGACGGTGTGCATAGAATAAGTATCCACGATCAAATCTCGACTGTGATAAATTCTGTCATCTAGATAGCAATATAAGTCTTCACTTGGGGTACTTGTTGACAAGACATCGCTGGAACAGAAGCATCTAGGCGTAGAGCAGCAGTCAAGAACTGGCTACATATCTTGTACTCACGTCCTTTTTAAATTGACTTCCGGAATCTAGATTCCATAGGTTCGGTAGTCGCGCTTTCGGCCGTCGTCGAGCACTAGTGCGAATAGTTTTGATGAATGTATTTACTCTGTGTGTATGAGTATAAACGTATGATAAGTGTGTTGTTTAGGACTCCTTAGTACGTTTCTTTGAGCTAGACGTGAATATAAGTCACTAGGTGTTCCAGTCCCCTAGTCACATGAAATGTATCTCGTTCAAGAGATCAGGAAATATCAACTCTCTGCCTCACCATCATGCATCCTTCACATCTTGTCGGGGTCACTTTGAAACCAAATCGGTTGCCGTTGGCCAGTGTCAGAGCGGAAGAGCTGAATTTGAATTGCAAAAAAAAAATGGATGCTATTTGAAGGAGAGGTTGCTGTTCCGGAGACGGCGGTGGAGTTCCCACGATTAAGACAATTACTCAGTCGAAGACGTAACGCTACCGCATCCCTTTCCTTTTATTCTCGCAACCGGGTTAATCCGAAGAATTCCACAGAGGGTGATCTAATGTTCTGGCAAAACGAACAGAACCATGATTCGAGGTTTGTACGCTTCCGACACGGACCAAAAGAATCTCAGAACAGAGAAATAAACAAACGCGAACACGTTTACATATTATGTGGCAGCCGCTTGCCAAAACCGAGTTGTTGTTGTTTTTGTTGTAGCTCCTAGTGCTGTGTCCGTCGTAATTCATCCAAATTCTGCTTTGCCATCCAAGAATGCAATATATTAGTTTGGGCTCCAACGACAATGGAGTTAGTTGAGTAGGTTTGACTGCGCAGTGAACTAGACCTGTGCCACATGCTGAGCCTGTACCACATGCTGAGCCCAATACGAATTGTGGCGGATGCACCAACCGGAAACTATTTGGGTTTGTAGGACAGCTTTCGCTTTAAGCTGCGATGGTAGGGGGATAGTCCTAGTACTGTATTCAGTCTATATTTCTCCATTACTGGTAAGACCGCGTCAGAGTGAAAACCAATCAGTCCTGCTTGAAAGGCCTGTTGATCTAGAAGCTCTCTTACCACTCTTATACCTCTGTGCACTCTCTTTCTATCTAGAATTTGGCCTATTTATCAGATGGTGAATAGTTGATTTGTTGTTATTTCGGGTCAATCCGGTATCGTAGAGTACGCAGTCGTGGGATTGGTACTATTTTCCCCTGGCTTTCACGGGAGGTTACATTATTTTTTTCTCTCTGATCTACACTGAGGACATAATTAACTAGTAAAATAAAGACAATTTTTAAAATCAACCATCATTGCTTTTGAACGAAGCTTTACAAGGATCCGGTGAGGCGAGCAGCTTTCGCTCTTCTTCTTCTTAGTACGGTATTCTATCTATATTCCTCCATGACTTCTAAGACCGAGTCAAAGTGAATACTCTTCAGTTCTGCTTAAAAGGTGTGTTGATGTAGAGTCTCTCTTTTATACTTCTGGACCTATCTCTCTATATCAAAAAGGTATTTAATGACGTACTTGAGCGGATGTTGTCTATCACCAGAGTTGTTGTTATTTCGGGTCAATCCGGTATCGTAGAACCTGCAGCTGTGGGATTGGAGCTATTTCTCTCTGGTTTTCATAAGAGGTTACATCAAATTCTACCCAGGTCTATAAATGTGGACATTATCAAAAATTAAATTCAATACAATGTTTAAACTCATACATTATCGCATTTGAACTTAGATTCACAAGGATACTTTCAAGATGTGTATGTTTTTTTTTATTCTAAAACTAAACATAAATTAAGCAAACTAATTGTTCGTTCATTTAACAACCATTCAATATAAATACATATGCGTTTTTGAGTTTGTGTGCCTTTCAACACCGACTGTTTGTACTATATATATATAAATATTCGTCAGGATGTTTACGGTTAGCTATGTCGGATCATGGGTAATTGCATTAATTCATAGTGTGTAGATTACAAATTTAAATATATATATTTTTAGAACTTTGGAATTGTAGCAGTGTTAAAGTGTTGTTGTTTTTTAGTTTTTTGTTTACAAATAATTTTAACATAAATTTAAAACAATAATTATTGTATTATTTGTGTGACCTTTGGTTTTGAAATAAAAATATTTATGTTCCCTATTCGTTTTGGACAATTTTGGAATTTACAAAGCTATTAGTTTGGTTTTGCAATTATGCTCCAGCCACATTTCTTCTAGTTGCACCTTGTTGTTGAGACTACGTTCGGGCGGTGTATTGTCAGCCGAGCCCGTGGAAGTTGGTGTTAGGACGCCGGACTTAAATGGAAGAAACATATTTTTTATTTGTAATTATGTTTAAATATTTGTATATAAATACCTTTGCAATTTTCCTAGGATCCAAATTCATACCAATGTTTTGTACTCCTTTGGCGATTTTCGATAAGGGGCTAGTCATTGATTTTAATTGTTTCAATTTACCCGCATCTATGGGTAGTTTAAGATCCTTGGGGGACATAGATCTGCTGGCGAAGTTTTTTTTTAGAAATATATTTTTGGATTTTTTTTTTTTGGACAAAAAGATAAAATCAAAGAACATTGTTTGGTTTAAGTTTTATATTTTATTTATTAATAAAAGAAAATTTCACAATTATCATAATGTGGTACAGGGAAACAAACTTAAACAAAAACGAAACATTTTACATAAAATAAAGTGCATTTAAAGCTTTAAGTGACAAATAATACAATCATGATAAACAAATAACTTAAAAAAATGTTTCTACTAATAATACTAAAAATAATTTTCCATTGAATAATCATAAGTTTGGAGGAAATTCTGTGCAATGTCAGAAAAAGATTTGTTCTTTTGTTTTGTTGAGTTTGTACAGAAAGTACATGTTTTTTAAGATTGTATCAATATTTGCTAGATGTGTGTTAAACTTGGATGCTTCATCGTCTGCCACATTCTTCTGAATTTTAATCCAGACCCATCTCGTTAACATCAAAACTTTTGGGTAATAAATCAAATCAATTGGCAAAACTCTATACCAGGTACAATCTTTGTTCAAAGTCGGTACAAAGATAGAATTCTAGCTCTCTTATAGTTTAATTATTTTCTACTTTTAGTTTCACATACCCTGTTATAAAGTGCTGCTGTTTTAATATTGGCTTAATATCAGATATCAAAATCTATTAACTACACCAATACTCTAATTCAAGCCCCTGTATTTAAAAGTACCCTGATTTATTTTTCCACTGAATCGAAAAAATCTTTTTTTAAATAAAAAAAGCAAATATGACATTGTAGTCTTTGCGAAAATATTTTCAGAGAATAGAAAAAAATTCCAATAAACTTATCAACTTTAAACTGATTCAAAAAAGTAGACCTGCTAAACAATTTTTTTTTGTAAATAGAAATGTAATTAACGTAATAAAGGCGAACACATTGGTCATAATTGTAAATGAAATATGAAAATACAAAAAATATTTAATATAAAAATTGCCATCAATTGGTCTAAAGTAGGAATTTCCAACTCATTTATATTATCAAGAGATGAAGTTACCTTAATAAAGATAAATAGTAAATTGGAATATATTAATTTTAAAGAACCAACTAAAATTGGTCATAGATTTACCAGGAAAGAAACAAGGAATTTATGAGGAAAACTCACAATACATTTAACCCAAGACTAAAGAATACTAAATTGGACGACAAAACTACGACCAAAATCCACAACAAGAAATAACAATAGTAAACAAGAAAGGTGTTTGTATAAATAACAACCACTAACAATTAAATGTGATTGTTTTACAGAAATAAGTGCAAATAAAAAAAAAAATAAAAAAATCTACGTTGGAACCCATATATAGGTTTGACTCATGTTGAATTGAATTACGTGTAAGTCAATAAATTCAGTCAGAAAAGTACTCTATAGAACTCGGTCGTTAAATGCCGGAGCAAATAAAAATTACAAAAAATGTCTCTAGTCTATAATGGCATTATATTTTGCTGAATGGCTTTAAAATAATTAGAAACTCAAAAATGAGTTAAACGAGAAAACGGTCATAATATTTAATATGGAACTCCAAGGACTATATTTGAAAAACAACAATGATAAAGACGAACCTTCAACTTCCAAAGAGTTGAAGACAAAAAACATTTTTAACCACATTTCAAAAACAACATTATTAATCATGGAAGATGATTTATAATAGGTTGTTTTAAACCACTGTGTCGAGATAATAACTAAGTCGGAAGAATTCCAAGAAAGAGGGTATAAGTGGGCCCTGGAGATACGTTTGAAACTCCATATAAATGTGTACAGAGCCATCTTTACCCTTGGGTCACATTTCATTCCAACTCCAAAATCATTGACTAATAAGAAAGGAGCATGCCTCAACATCAATAACTATGATGACTATTGTTTTAAGTGGTGTATGGTTGCCGCATTGGGAGAAAAAGCACATTTAAAACCATGTGTAACATTGTCATATAACATAGATATACACCAACATGTTATAATTCCACAGTCTAGAGTATCACTAAATTTCAAAAAATTAAATTTTCCACTGTCTTTAAAACATAAAAATAATTGAAATGAACAACACAGGGATTGGCATAAATGTCTTTGATTATGAAATAAGCACATTCCATGTATCATAAAAAAATGGAAAAATCGACTTTTGTTTTTTATGCTGACTCTGAGAGCATACAAGAGGATGTACCAGAAGATGAGAACAGCACATAGAGATCTAAGTGTAACATCGTCATTTAACATAGATATACACCAAGATGTTATAATTCCACCGTCTAGAGTATCACTAAATTTCAAACAAATTAATTTCCCACTGTCTTTTTAAAATGAAAATAAGTCAGTCATTGGACCATATTATCTGACAAAGAAGATAAACCAATCACGTTAATCTTTCATAATGAAGAAAATGTCAATTACATTTGGGTTATGGGTATGTCGTGGTAATAAAATATTTAATTATTAATTTAAATTTATGTATTTATCATGTATTTGTTCTTTCTTCCTGTCTTTTGCGGTCTCAGCTAACAAACCATAAGAAGAAAGCTTATTTTTGTATTAGATGCTTACAATATTTTCACGACGAAAATAAAATAAGGACTCACACAAAGCAGTGTGGAGAAGTAGTTTGTATCCTACTAAATTAGAAGGGTGCTGTGTTGAATTTTTCTTCAAATCCAACAAATAATATGGACAAGGTAAAATTCTTCAATTTAGAATGCAATCCTTTCATTCTAAAGAAATCTTCATTGAATTTTTAAATAAAAAAAGCAAATATGACATTGTAGTCTTTGCTAAAATATTGTCAGAGAATAGAAAAAAATTCCAACAAACTTATCAACTTTAACCTGATTCAAAAAAGTAGACCTGCTAAACAATTTGTAAATAGAAATGTAATTAACGTAATAAAAGCGAACACATAGGTCATAATTGTAAATGAAATATGAAAATACAGAAAATATTAAATATGAAAATTGCCATAAATTGGTCTAAAGTAGGAATTTCAAACTCATTTATATTATCAAGAAATGAAGTTACCTTAATAAAGATAAATAGTAAATTGGAATATATTAATTTTGAAGAACCAACTAAAATTGGTCATAGATTTACCAAGAAAGAAACAAGGAATTTATGAGGAAAACTCACAATACATTTAACCCAAGACTAAAGAATACTCAATTGGACGACTAAACTACGACCAAAATCCACAACAAGAAATAATAATAGTAGACAAGAAAGGTGTTTGTATAAATTACAACGACTAACAATTAAATGTGATTCTTTTACAGAAATAAGTGTAAATAAAAAAAATCTACGTTGGAACCCATATATAGGTTTGACTCATGTTGAATTGAATTACGTGTAAGTCAATAAATTCAGTCAGAAAAGTACTCTATAGAACTCGGTCGTTAAATGCCGGAGCAAATAAAAATTAAAAATGGCATTATATTTTGCTGAATGGCTTTAAAATAACTATAAACTCAAAAATGAGTTAAACGAGAAAACGGTCATAATATTTAATATGGAACTCCAAGGATTATATTGGAAACCCAACAATGATAAAGACGAACCTTCAACTTCCAAAGAGTTGAAGACAAAAAACATTTTTAACCACATTTCAAAAACAACATTATTAATCATGGAAGATGATTTAGAAGAGGTTGTTTTAAACCACTGTGTCGAGATAATAACTAAGTCGGAAGAATTCCAAGAAAGAGGGTATAATTGGGCCTTGAAGATACGTTTAGAACTCCATATAAATGTGTACAGAGCAATCTTTACCCGTGGGTCACATTTCATTCCAACTCCAAAATCATTGACTAATAAGAAAGGAGCATGCCTCAACATCAAAAACTATGATGACTATTGTTTTAAGTGGTGTATGGTTGCCGCATTGGGCGAAAAAGCACATTTAAAAACAAGTGTAACATTGTCATATAACATAGATATACACAAAGATGTTATAATTTAACAGTCTAGAGTATCACTATATTTCAAAAAATTAAATTTCCCACTGTCTCTAAAACATAAAAATAGTTGAAATGAACAACACAGTGATTGGCATAAATGTTTTTGATTATGAAAATAGCACATTCCATGTACATTTAGCTATTTTGTTATACATGTCTTGTAACTTAAAACCATAAACGACAACCTGGTCATAAGCTTCTTTTTGTAATGTATACATACAATGTTTTCACGACGAAAATAAAATAAAGACTCACACAAAGCAGTGTGGAGAAGTAGTTTGTACCCTACCAAATAAGAAGGATGCCGTGTTGAAATTCGTGAATCATAAAAAATGGAAAAATCGACTTTTGTTTTTTATGCTGACTCTGAGAGCATACAAGAGGATGTACCAGAAGATGAGAACAGCATATAGAGATCTAAGTGTAACATCGTCATTTAACATAGATATACACCAAGATGTTATAATTCCACAGTCTAGAGTATCAATAAATTTCAAAAAATTAAATTTCCCACTGTATCTTTAAAATGAAAATAAGTCAGTCATTGGACCATATTATCTGACAAAGGAGATAAACCAATAACGTTAATCTTCCATAATGAAGAAAATGTCCATTACATTTGGGTTATGGATATGTCGTGGTAATAAAATATTTAATTATTAATTTAAATTTATGTATTTATCATGTATTTGTTCTTTCTTCCTGTCTTTTGCGGTCTCAGCTAACAAACCATAAGAAGAAAGCTTATTTTTGTATTAGATGCTTAGAATATTTTCACGACGAAAATAAAATAAGGACTCACACAAAGCAGTGTGGAGAAGTAGTTTGTATCCTACTAAATTAGAAGGGTGCTGTGTTGAATTTTTCTTCAAATCCAACAAATAATATGGACAAGGTAAAATTCTTCAATTTAGAATGCAATCCTTTCATTCTAAAGAAATCTTCATTGAATTTTTAAATAAAAAAAGCAAATATGACATTTTAGTCTTTGCTAAAATATTGTCAGAGAATAGAAAAAATTTCCAACAAACTTATCAACTTTAACCTGATTCAAAAAAGAAGACCTGCGAAACAATTTTTTTTTTTTTTTTTTGTAAATAGAAATGTAATTAACGTAATAAAGGCGAACACATTGGTCATAATTGTAAATAAAATATGAAAATACAAAAGATATTTAATATGAAAATTGCCATCAATTGGTCTAAAGTAGGAATTTCAAACTCATTTATATTATCAAGAGATGAAGTTACCTTAATAAAGATAAATAGTAAATTGGAATATATTAATTTTGAAGAACCAACTAAAATTGGTCATAGATTTACCAGGAAAGAAACAAGGAATTTATGAGGAAAACTCACAATACATTTAACCCAAGACTAAAGAATACTAAATTGGACGACAAAACTACGACCAAAATCCACAACAAGAAATAATAATAGTAAACAAGAAAGGTGTTTGTATAAATAACAACCACTAACAATTAAATGTGATTGTTTTACAGAAATAAGTGCAAATAAAAAAAAAATAAAAAAAAATCTACGTTAGAACCCATATATTGGTTTGACTCATGTTGAATTGAATTACGTGTGAGTTAATAAATTCAGTCTGAAAAGTACCCTATAGAACTCGGTCGTTAAATGCCGGAGCAAATAAAAATTACAAAAAATGTCTCTAGTCTATAATGGCATTATATTTTGCTGAATGGCTTTAAAATAATTAGAAACTCAAAAATGAGTTAAACGAGAAAACGGTCATAATATTTAATATGGAACTCCAAGGACTATATTTGAAAAACGACAATGATAAAGACGAACCTTCAACTTCCAAAGAGTTGAAGACAAAAAACATTTTTAACCACATTTCAAAAACAACATTATTAATCATGGAAGATGATTTATAATAGGTTGTTTTATAATCGAGATAATAACTAAGTCGGAAGAATTCCAAGAAAGAGGGTATAAGTGGGCCCTGGAGATACGTTTGAAACTCCATATAAATGTGTACAGAGCCATCTTTACCCGTGGGTCACATTTCATTTCAACTCCAAAATCATTGACTAATAAGAAAGGAGCATGCCTTAACATCAATATCTATGATGACTATTGTTTTAAGTGGTGTATGGTTGCCGCATTGGGAGAAAAAGCACATTTAAAACCATGTGTAACATTATCATATAACATAGATATACACCAAGATGTTATAATTCCACGATCTAAAGTATCACTATATTTCAAAAAATTAAATTTCCCACTGTCTTTAAAACCTAAAAATAATTGAAATGAACAACACAGGTATTGGCATAAATGTTTTTGATCATGAAAATAGCACATTCCATGTACATTTAGCTATTTTATTAAATGTAGGTTTAATGATTACACATGTGTTGTAACTTAAAACCATAAACGACAACCTGGTCATAAGCTTATTTTTGTAATGTATACTTACAATGTTTTCACGACGAAAATAAAATAAAGACTCACACAAAGCAGTGTGGAGAAGTAGTTTGTACCCTACCAAATAAGAAGGATGCCGTGTTGAAATTCTTGAATCATAAAGAAATGGAAAAATCGACTTTTGTTTTTTATGCTGACACTGAGAGCATACAAGAGGATGTACCAGAAGGTGAGAACAGCACATAGAGATCTAAGTGTAACATCGTCATATAACATAGATATACACCAAGATGTTATAATTCCACAGTCTAAAGTATCACTAAATTTCAAAAAAATTAAATTTCCCACTGTCTCTTTAACACATAAAAAAATTGAAATGAACAACTCAGGGATTAGCGTAAATGTTTTTAGTTATGAAAATAAGTCAGTCATTGGACCATATTATCTGACAAAGGAGATAAACCAATCACGTTAATCTTTCATAATGAAGAAAATGTCCATTACATTTGGTTATGGATATGTCGTGGTAATAAAATATTTAATTATTAATTTAAATTTATGTATTTATCATGTATTTGTTCTTTCTTCCTGTCTTTTGCGGTCTCAGCTAACAAACCACAAGAAGAAAGCTTATTTTTGTATTGGATGCTTACAATGTTTTCACGACGAAAATAAAATAAGGACTCACACAAAGCAGTGTGGAGAAGTAGTTTGTATCCTACCAAATAAGAAGGGTGCTGTGTTGAATTTCGTAAATCATAAGAAAACGAAAAAAGATGTTATAATTCCACAGTCTAGAGTATCAATAAATTTCAAAAAATTAAATTTCCCACTGTATCTTTAAAATGAAAATAAGTCAGTCATTGGACCATATTATCTGACAAAGGAGATAAACCAATAACGTTAATCTTCCATAATGAAGAAAATGTCCATTACATTTGGGTTATGGATATGTCGTGGTAATAAATAATATTTGTTCTTTCTTCCTGTCTTTTGCGGTCTCAGCTAACAAACCATAAGAAGAAAGCTTATTTTTGTATCGGATGCTTACAATGTTTTCACGACGAAAAAAAAATAAGGACTCACACAAAGCAGTGCGGAGAAGTAGTTTGTACCCTACCAAATAAGAAGAATGCTGTGTTGAATTTCGTAAATCATAAGAAAACGGAAAAAGTGGCTTTTGTTATTTATGCTGACTCTGAGAGCATACAAGAGGATGTACCAGAAGATGAGAACAATTGTTAGCGTAAAACGGAAAAGGTAAAGGTAATAATAAAAATTTTTAAGGTAATAAAAATTTAACAGTGACTGCGAAAAGTGCTCTACTGCACTGCACCAAAATAATTCGGTTCTCATTCGTTGCCCTCAAAAGCGGCGAATACACCAAACTCATTGAAGACACTGCCGAGACCAGTTCGGGGCAGTCCAACCCACTCCGAGGGTTGAAGTAAGGACTAATCCAGGGCCGATGATAATACAGACAACATCAAAAAGAAGAAAAAATTGCCTACTAAAAGAGGAAAATAGAATAGGAGGACGACAATCATTCAATCCCACTCATTGTCATTTTCCCGTTAGTTTGTGCTTCGATTACAGGGTTGACAAATTAAGTTTTTCAGCAAATCGTAATGTTTGGTAATGCTTGCAATATAACATTTCATGGGAAAATGGTATATTTACGTATTTTGGCAACCCTTTTTTAAATGAATCAAAGATAAACTGTTTGTAGATCATTCAGTCTGTGGTTTTGTGTAAAGTGGACGTGCTGTGCTTTCTCTGTGAAAAAAAATATATATTCAACACGGTAAGTAAAATGAGTAAAAGAAATATGTCCCGGTTAATAAAAAAACAACGTGAAGAATACATTAATAGATTAAGAAATAGTTCTAATCTAGAAACACAAAACATAAATATAAATGATAAGCCTGCTGTTTTAACCACAGATTTGTCAGATGAGCAAAGTGATTTTAACACCAGAAACCACAATGTTCAGCAAGAGCTATTTACTGATAAGTTAGGGAAGTGGTACATAAGAAACAAAATTTCCAGGAAAGCATTTGAAGAACTTTTGTGCATTTTAAGAGAAGAGAATTTAAATGTACCAAAGAAAGCAGAAACATTATTGCCGAAAATTGTTGAGAAACCCATTATAAGGAAAGTGCGTCCCGGCCTGTATTGTCATTTAGGCATAAGAAGTCAATTACAGAAAGTTGGTAAATTATTATTGGGATTAGACAAAATAATAATTGATATAAATATTGATGGCTTGCCCTTATTTAAAAGCTCTCGAGCTCAGCTGTGGCCTGTTTTACTAAGAATTGTTAATTAAATAAATGAAAATGAATTTAGTATCGTAAGCAAAATAAGGTAAACTTGTATTGGTATTAAAATAAGTCTCTTCCAAATAATAAACAGATAACGAAATTACTCTGTCAGTGAACTTCGTGAATAAACGTCAAGTCGCGGTTTTCGACAAACCAAAATTAAACCTTTGTTTTAATTTAGACAGTGTCCGTGGTACTTTTGACAAGTATCTCGTTTTTTTTGAGACCTTAACTCAGAAAGGTCTAACTGGCGCCCGAGCAAAATTGGGTAATTAAGTCACCCATCGCGCTAATGTAAAGAAGGAGGCCCCAAGTATCCATACGGAAAAAAGGACGCGTTTGAACGCAAGCCGCTTTACTAGTGAGAAAAAAAAGGCTTACCTCGAAAATTGGGTAATTAAGTCACCCATCGCGCTAATGTAAAGGAGGCCCCCAAGTATCCTTACGGAAAAAAAGAACGCGTTTGAACGCAAGCCGCTTTACTAGTGAAAAAAAAAGAGACTGACCTCGAAAATTAATTGAAATCATAACAAAACAAAAAAAGCTACTACAGTGAACTCTAAAATACTCGATAATACGATACAAAAAGAAAAAAAAATGGAAAAAAAAGGAACAACAAAATCTATCTAATCATAACAAAATCTATCTAATCTAAAACAAAGTGAAAGTGACATCATCATCTGTAATCCAACCTATACAACGAGGACACCACATCAGAATACACCACATCAGGATACACTTACCAAGATGAAGATGACTCTACTTTTTTATCAATCTTTTTAACTCTTTTCACCTTTTCGAAAACCGAGCTACAAATTTTGAACTACACACTGTCACACCTCGTAACTATTTTTAGTGGACCTGCAAAAATACAGGACGGCACATTTAACATTATCCACATTATAGAAATGGACAGATACAAGAACTTCGTTGACGATGTACAGAAGGAAATCGTACAAACCATCCCTAAATCCAATCCCTTTTTCCCACTCCTAACACACGAAATATCCCAAATTCATGATATCCTAGAATGCATAGAACCAATGGAACCTCCCAGGAAAAAGAGATCTATCAATATATTAGGTACTGCCTGGAAGTACATCGCCGGATCACCAGATCACGATGACTTTGTAACAGTAAAAAATACATTGGATCAAACTATCCTAAATAATAACCAACAAGTAGTTATAAATGACATCTTTACAGAAAGATTACAAAACCTTACCCAAATTACCAATCACATAACCAAAGCAATTAAAGATAATAAAGATTTTGTAAACGAGGCTGCACTCAGCATGCAAACTAAGCTCAGATTCATAAAAGAAGAATTAACTAATATCAAATTCGCAATCCAATGGGCAAAACAAAATATTATAAATTCATTTTTGTTAAATAAAAAAGAAATAAAAATAGCACTGGAGAAAATAACTGATGACAATATTTTATTCACATCAATAGAAGAAGCCCTCAAGTTTGCAAACATTAAGGTCCTTTACAATCAAAGAAAAATTTTGTATATCATTGTAATCCCGCTTACTAGCAAAGAACAATTCGATAATGTTATAATTAAACCTGTAAAAAGAAATAATAGAATCATAAGTACCAAGTTTAATGAAATAATGAAAAATAACCATAAAATATTTGGCATTAAAAGTGAATGTGCAATAATAAATAATGTAAAAATCTGTAAAAGTGACAAATTGGTAAACATATCCAACGATACTTGCATCCCTCCGTTACTAAACGGAATGAATTCATCTTGCCCAATGGCACACGGCTACCATATACCCCAAATAGAAAATATCTCACCCGTTATCATTCTTCTTAACGATTTTATTGGAACAATAAACAATGATACGGATAATGGAACATTTTTAATCAAATTCCACAACGCTACATTGCGAATAAACGACAAATATTACAGAAATTTAGAAGCTCCACTTTTGGAAGTTTCTCCACCAACAATTCAACAAACGCCGGTTGAAGATGAATTCATAAGCCTACTATCCTTGGAAATGTTAAACCACTTGCATATTAATAATACCAAGTCCATCCATGAACTCAAGTCAGACTCTGTTGTTACTAAATATACCACGTTCTCTTTATTCACCCTTTTTGCTATTTGCCTTGTTCTAATAAGGCTCTTTCAAAAAAAAAGAGAAAAAGTAATTATTCATACAATAGCTCCTACCCAGAAATTAATACAAGCCCCAGTTGCTCGAACAAAATTGCACGAGCCGAGGCCACAAAAAATAGGCGATCTACCTTACTTCTAACGATTGGGGACAATCGTTTTTAAAGGGGGAGGAGTTAACACACAATATGTTATAAATTCAAAAGATATTTGGCACATGTAAATACAGTTCACACGAAAATATTTCATCAGCTCAAAGTTGCACATCCGGTAGTTAACCTGTTAAACACAAGAGATACTTGGCGCGTGCAGACAGAATTACCACGAATTTCTTTCATTTCAAACACATTTTCGTTCTATATTAAAAGTGCAATATCTGGCTTGAATTGCAAAAGCGTTAACTGCTACGCTTTCGCAACGTTCAATGGAAATTTGATAAATTAAATAAAAGAAAATGAATTTAGTTTCGTAAGCAAAATAATGTAAGCATGTATTGGTATTACAGTAAATCAGGTTCAATGGAAATTTAATAAATTAAATAAATGAAAATGAATTTAGTATCGTAAGCAAAATAATGTAAACTTGTATTGGTATTAAAATAAGTCTCTTCCAAATAATAAACAGAGAACGAAATCACTCTGTCAGTGAACTTCGTGAATAAACGTCAAGTCGCGGTTTTCGACAAACCAAAATTAAACCTTTGTTTTAATTTAGACAGTGTCCGTGGTACTTTTGACAAGTATCTCGTTTTTTTTTTTTTGAGACCTTAACTCAGAAAGGTCTAACTTACATAATAAACCAGTTATGAAATATATTATAAATTCGTATGCATTTTCTTTCATTTCAGGTACTGAAAACAACTCATGCAAAAATTGCAAAAAACTTTCCAGAATTATTAAGAGTGTATACTACACAGTGCCGGAACAGATTTTATTGGATCGTGAAATTTGAAATATTTCTTTTCATATTATTTAATAAGCTCAATGCTTTCTTATTCAAACAAAAAAACATTTTATACAAATATTGGGATATCGCCGATTCACTACTTTTATCGCTGTTTGAACTATGTTTTTTAATTAAATAATATTTTCAATTCAATTTTCCTGTACTAATTTGGTTTAAAATTGCCGACTTTCAGAAACCATCAACGACTTAGTTAAAACTGTCCAACAAAACAGTGAGGCTATTATGTCCGCATTTGCCGAAATAAACGTAGTCACAACAAAATTAGTTCGACAAGAAACGTCAATCAGCACCGCTACAAATGACTTTCCAATATCGTCTGAAATCATGTTGCAAAAAATGGAGGAAAAAATCACTTGTGACAACCGAGATATTTACGTAAGTACAAAAATGTGCTTATTATTTGTATAGTAATATATCGAAAATGAATTAGGAATAAAGTAAATATTTTCTTAATTTTTATAACATAGTAATTTAATCATTCACATTTAGGTCTCTACAATGAACAAGCTGTGGCGAAACTGTGTCGGAAAAAATAGAGAGAATATACTAGATTCTAAAGTCAAAATGGATTATAATGTAGACGGTACTCATGGAAAACGCTCTTTAAGGAAATATAAAATTTTCTACAAAGCTTTAATTGGTAAGTTGAATATTTTAACGTAAAATTTGTATAATTAAACAATTTTTTAAACATTTTCCAGACTCCATAGAAACTCTACCATCCCTAGGGGAAAAAAATGCGGAACAGCTACTACGCCAGGCAATGCAATTATGCAAAAAGAAGCAATTCAGAAAGAATTCTGAAAATAAAAAGATCGAGCTGGAGTCAACAGAAAATATTGATGTGAATTAAATTTTAGTATTAATTTTTGAGTGAACTATTTTTTATACATACATCAAATGTGGATATGGATTTTTAATTTAATTTTTTATAAATTATTATATTACTTTTTTAAAACTAAAATAAAAAACGATAAAATTAACTAGTATTTAATTATACACAACCAACTAGTGCGAAACTGGTAATGATGAATTGATATACAACTAGAAAAGATGTGAGTAGTATAAAACTACCATGAAGAATACTAGAGTGTGCACTAGTCCACATAAAACTAGTCCAAACACAGTAGTTTACAGTACTACATAACAACTAGTATGTATTTAACTAGTATAGGTTCTAGTACTTTAATTGTATACAAATGAACTAGTTAGGCGTATATGACAACCCCATGTTAAAATCGACAGTTCGTTATATGGAAAAAGGACAGATATGTTACTAGTTTGAAGCAAAAAGCAACTAGTATATTTCTACCTACATACTAGTTATTTTGGCTGCAAACAATATTTTGCACGAGGCGCAAGATCAGCAATACCCAAACGTCGACTGCGACAACGGTCGGATGGTGACGCAAGATCAGCAGTGCCCAAACGTCGACTGCGACAACGGTCTGATGGTGAAGTAGCAAAACAAATGTGATGGACGGAAAGATTTAGTTTAACAACTCCATACTAATAGAACGGTTCAGGCGAGTCGCCGAATCCGATATAAATATATGAATTTAAATTAATAAACATAAGTTTTTAAATAAACAATTATCATAATTCTTAACTTATGTAAGTTATCATGAGGAACCCTCGTGTTCCCGTATTCCCACAGTTTGGCTGCACTAAAGCAACCAAAAACCCCACACGAGCTGCTAAGTCAGCGCATTAAACACCTTATTCTAAACACCTTATTCATTTGGTTGCACCCAAACCAACTACTTACAACCATTCATGGGAAACCTTAATGCTCCCGTATTCCCACAAGTAACACGAGCCGCCTATTCAACACCCCACTGCAGGTTAATAGCCCAATATTCTACAGAGCGACAGCGGCGCAGCATAATGTGGTGTCTTAGTTTTAAGTAACAGCATTATTGTAAGTTCAGTTTTTAACTCATACTCAATGAATAAAGTTTAATCCATTCATTTTGATTAATTGGCGCCCAACGTGGTTCACTTCGCGAAAAGAACTCTAAAAAAGTTAGAACTGTGAAAAGTGAAACTACAAAATATAAAATAAAAATACAAATCCTAAAAAAGGAAAAGTAAAAACGTACGTGGTTCACTTCGCGAAAAGAACTCTAAAAAAGTTAGAACTGTGAAAAGTGAAACTACAAAACATAAAATAAAAATCCTGTGATGAAAAAAATATAAATAGGAAAGAAAACTCAGTCAAAACTGTACCAAAATACCCTTAAGAAAAAAGGACTCAATTGTGTTCGAAAATAAGCTTAAGTCACCAAGGAACGAATATCCTTGGGCAGCGAAAGGCAAAATCGAAGACGATCTACAGAATCACCAAGGAACGAATATCCTTGGGAGGCGAAAGAAAGTGAAAAACAATTAGAAGGCTCATCAAGAAACACACATCCCGAGCCAAGAAGTGGAAGAAGCTACCGAAGATCAACAACAGAAATTAATTTTAAATAATTTACCTGCCATTTTTTTTTTTTTGTTTTAAAGTGAAAATTGAAATAAAAAAGGAGGAAATTTAACCAAATTCATTCAAATATATATATATTTTTTTTGGGAATACTCCATTTTTGCGAATAATTTATGAGTCAGGAATTAGAAGACTTATTAGGCAAATTAAGTTTAGAAACAAAAGAAACCATGAACGCCGAACAAGTAAGTGAGCTAGTTAGAGCAGAAGTGAGCAGAGCATTGGCCGCTCAAAAATTAGAATTCGACAGGAAAATAACTGCGATTAACAGTAGACTTGCTACTGACAAACCTAAAATTGAAAAGTTTACGAAAGTTCGGATAAATCCGCTGGTACCTTGTGATATCACCTTAGATGCCATAAAGTCTCTTCCGGAATTTTCCGAACAGCCAGGCACCTATGTGTCATGGCGCGAAGCAGCGCACAATGCATACGAGTTATTTGAAAAATACGATGGCAGCGAACGCCACTATCAAGCGGTGATTATTCTTAGAAATAAAGTGCGAGGTGCCGCCGATGCAGTACTTTCATCCTTTAGCACGGTATTAAGTTTTAAAGCAATCATTGCCCGTCTCGATTTTACTTACGCGGACAAACGTCCGATATATCTGATCGAACAAGAACTGTCCACGCTGAGGCAGGGTTCGATGCAGTTACTAGATTTCTACGATGAGGTAGAAAAGAAATTAACCTTGTTAGCCAATAAGACAATCATGTCATATAAAAATAGTGTAGCAGACACTATAAACGAAAAATACGGAGCCGATGCACTTAGGGTTTTCATATCAGGTTTAAGGAAACCCCTTTGTGATATCCTGTTTGCCTCAAGACCAACAGACCTCCCTTCTGCATTGGTCTTAGCACAAGAAGTAGACGCTAATAACGAGCGCTACGCTTTCGCGAAAATTTTCGCAAACAGATCTGATAGTTCTTGCAACAGAAAGGCAAGTTCTGCCCAAAATTCCCCTAATACGGATCACAATGTGGGACAGAAGAACCCACATTATTCGGTTACCAAACAGAAACAGGCTGGTCAACCACAGAACAACTTAAATAACCAAAAGCCACACACCAGTGGTAACTTCGCCGATCATAGACGTGTCGAACCTATGGAAGTAGACCGTTCCCTATCCCAATATAGACAAAAAATAAACTACCAAAGTCACGACTATAATGACAGGTCACAGGGAAATACACAGAAACGAGCGTCGAATTCAGGGCGATACACAGGACCAAAACTACAACGTGTGAATCATCTTAGCGAAGAACACGAATCAATGGACGAGCCAACGTATGATGAAGATGCGGAACAGGCCGTAGACGAAATTGAGAGCGACGAGCTTAATTTTTTAGGGGAAGGTCCCTCCTGCCTTGGATTTCGAGGTCAATAGGAGGGAAAGAAATCAAACTCCTTGTCGACACGGGGGCTGCAAGGAGTTACATCAAACCCTTACCGGAACTAAAGGGAATAAAGGAGGTCCAAAATTCATTTGCAGTAAAATCAATTCATGGAGTTACTCCCATCAAACTTAAATGCAAAATTAAAATTTTCGGCGTTACAGAAGATTTTTTTATTTTACCCGAGTTGAAATCATTTGATGGCGTTATTGGCCTTGATTTATTGAATAAGGTACACGCATCCATTGATTTAAAAACTAATACAATTACACATGACCATGGAAAAGAAGTTATTTTATTTATTACCAGCCAGGATATAAATCATTTACAACTTCAGGCTAAGTCGGTACCAAGGGAGTTCAAAGACGCATTATTTAGAGTAATTGCCAACGTAAACGGAGTATTTGCAGACCCCAATGAAGCACTCCCATACAATACGAATGTGGTTGCGACCATCCGCACGGAGAACGAAGACCCAGTTTACTCAAAACTGTACCCGTACCCACTGGGCGTTGCGGATTTTGTTAATAAAGAAATTCAGGATTTACTGGCAAACGGTATCATTCGAAAGTCTAGGTCCCCCAATAACAACCCAATATGGGTCGTTAAGAAAAAGGGCTTTGATGAAAATGGACAGGAAAAAAAGCGATTAGTTATAGATTTTCGAAAACTTAATGATAAAACTCTCAGTGATAGGTACCCGATTCCAGAAATAACGGAAACTCTATCCAACCTTGGTGGGAGTAAATTCTTCACTACACTAGACCAAAAATCCGGTTTCCACCAAATTCAGTTGTCTGAACCCTATAGAGAAAAAACTGCACTTTCTGTAAAAAACGGAAAATATGAATTCTGCAGACTGCCATTCGGTCTGAAGAACGCGCCCAGCATTTTCCAAAGGGCGATAGACGATGTGTTAAGAGAACACATCGGTAAGAGATGTTTCGTCTACGTCGACGATGTCATTATATTCTCGAGAAACGAGCAAGACCATTTAAAATATACGGAAGTAGTGATGCGAAGTCTATTCGAGGCCAATATGAGGGTATCGGCAGAAAAATCAAAATTTTTCCAAACCGAGGTCGAATACTTAGGGTTCTTAGTTTCACAAGGAGGAATTAAAACATGCGATGAAACAATTCGAAATTTTCCTGAGCCCAGCACCTTAAGAGGTGTAAGGTCATTCTTAGGCTTAGCGGGATACTACCGCTGCTTCATACGCGACTTCGCCAAGATTGCGAAACCACTATCAAACATACTGAGAGGAGAGTACGGCCGAGTTACTGCAACACAGTCGAAAATATCAAGATTGATTTGACTAGTGAACAGAAAAAAGCCTTTATTAAAATAAAAGATATACTTGCCTCCGAAGACGTAACCTTAACATACCCAGATTTCCAAAAAGCGTTCGATTTAACCACAGACGCATCCTCCCATGCTATAGGTGCTGTCCTTTCACAGGAGGGAAAACCTATAACCATGATTTCCCGCACTTTGACAATTAGCGAGGAACATTACGCTACTAATGAACGGGAATTATTAGCCATTGTCTGGGCACTTAAAACGCTTAGAAACTACCTTTATGGTGTATCAACCATTAACCTTTGCCGTTTCGGACAGAAATCCGAATTCTAAAATTAAAAGGTGGAAAGCTTTCATTGATGAATGCAACGCAAAGCTAATCTATAAACCAGGCAAGGAAAACGTAATTGCAGATGCGCTGTCCAGACAGCACATTAATGCTTTAGACAATGCGAGTGTTGAAACAATCCACAGCGAAGAATCATCTACCAACACGATTAAGAGAACCGATAAGCCGGTAAATTGCTTCCGTAATCAGATACTTGTTGAGGAAGGCACAGAACCCCACAAGAGAACTTTCATTATTTTTGGGAAAAAGACGAGACACTTGATTACATTTCGAACCAATGATGATTTAATTAAAAATCTACAGGAAGCCGTGAACGTAGATGTAGTAAATGCTCTGCAGTGTGATCTGCACACATTGGCACGATTCCAGCATAAATTGATCGAACTCTTTCCAACCGTGAAATTCAGGCACACAGAAAAGTTAATTATTGATATATCAGATCCTAACGAACAACAAGAAATTATCGCAGCCGAACACAGTCGAGCACACCGAGCAGCCCAGGAAAACGTGAAGCAAATAATTGAAGGCTATTTTTTCCAAAAATGGAAAAGAAGACTAAACAATTTGTAGCAAATTGTCGCGTATGCTCTCAAGCGAAGTATGACCGCCATCCAAAAAAGCAGCTCATTGCTAAAACGCCCATACCCACATATTGTGGAGAAATTCTCCACATTGATATATTTTCAACAGGGTCGAAATATTTTTTGACTTGCATTGACAAATTTTCAAAATTTGCAATAGTACAGTCTTTAAAGTCTAGGACGATAGTAGACGTTAAGCCTCAGCTTCTGCAGTTGCTCAATGTGTTTTCAAATACGAAAACTATTTACTGTGACAACGAGAAGTCGCTCAATTCACATAGCATCAAGGCCACGTTAAAGAACCATTTCGACATCGATATTGCGAACGCTCCACCCTTGCACAGTACCTCAAATGGACAGGTAGAGCGATTTCACAACACACTGATGGAAATATCTAGATGTCTTAAACTTGACAAAAATTTAGATGATATCGAAGAGATAGTTCTTTTGGCTACCATCGAATATAACAGGTCAATACATTCGGTAACTGAGACGAAACCTATTACAGCCTTTCATTCCTCGGAGGCCGACGCACAAATAGTATCGCGTATAAAAAACACTCAGATCAAAAACTTAGAAGCGCACAATAAGAATAGGCAAGATAGGGATTTTGCCGTTGGGGAGAAAGTGTTCGTAAAAAATAACAGAAGACTACACTGAGGGAAAAATCCCGTTGCGAAATCAAGCACGTATGTTGTCATTTTCGCAACGACCCGTTGTTATATTTTTCAACAACGGCTGTTGGTGAATTGTGCACGAACGTGCTCAAATTGACACCGAGACGTGGTCAACTTTCGGTACCAACAACAGCCGTGCTTAATTTGTCCATTTGTAATATTGGTAATTGCAGCCGATTACACACGAGTAAAAAATGACAACGGTGGTGCATGATTCACACACGGTCGTTGTCAATATGACACCGGTCGTGTATGAATTATGCACCACCACCTGCATAATGATGCACCACCGTTGTTACTTTGTACACCGACGTGCATGAATCGTACACGATCGTTGCCATTTTAGCAACTACCGTGTATGAATCATGCACCACCGTTGTCATTTTTTTTACTCGTGTGCAATCGGCTGCATATTTACCATTTTTTCCGTGTTATTGAAAGAGAAAGGACGCATTGTGCAAAAAATTTATTGAAAATGAATAATAATTCGCAAGATCCTCAAAATATCATTGGTGAGTTGTTAGAAATCGATGGCAATATTGTTGTGGTTCGCGATACAAACCATTGCAGCAGTCAAGATGCGGAAAACAATGAGGACGATTATATGTTAAGGGAGTTCTTAAAAGGAATAAATATGGAGTCGCTTTTTGAACAATTAAAAGGTAAGTAAATAAAAATGAATTTTTCAGTTAATCAGTGTAATTAACAAAGAATTTTCTTTTTTGTTCTTTTAGCATCACATGTAACATTTCGCAGCTTGCAGTACTTGAAAAAAGAAGATTTAAAGGAAGCAGTGCCACCATTGGGACTGCGTGTTGAATTCAGAGAAAAGCTCTTTGCTTGGAAAAAACGAAAGGTACGTATTATTTGTTTTACAGAGTTGAACTCAGTATTAATATTGTCATAACAATAGCTCGGGATTGATGACGAAACTATGTCAGTTCCATCTAAAATAGGTGAATGGTGGAAACGCAACGAGACACCTGCAAGTACTCCTGGTACTCCCGACACTACAGGTTCGAACTGCTCAAAAGCCAAAGGAATTTTGTCAGAGGTAAGGTAAGAGTAATATTTGTGTAAGCATAGTTAATGTAGTTTTTTTATTTAATATAGGATCTAACGGAATTGTTAACACATACCTCGAAGGGGAAACTAGCGCTTGAATGTAGTAGCGTTAATAAGAAATTAAGTGACGAGCAAAGAGATGATATAATTAATATAATTATTGAAGATATTTTAACCAACAATGTTACTCTTTACACTCAAGACTATATGCGCATATTGGATGAAATTTGTTCCGTTTTTCCTCTTGAAAACGAAATGAGGGTAAGATTAACAATATAAACAACGTATCTGATTATGTAGTTTCTTAACTTATAATATGTCTTTATTTTTAGGATTATTATTACATTTCAAGAAAAGGAAAGAACAACGCAAGCGGAAAACTTTATGCCAAGTATAGAAACAAGAAGTCCAAAAGAATAAAGCTTTTGATTTCCGAGCCTAGCACAAGCAAAGCAGCAACTCACACATCTCCTAATTTTTGTAACAAAGATGTTCCCGAAATTGATGAATCAGTTGAAAATTCATTGAAAGCTTCCTTACTAAGAGAATGTAATGATTGGGGATCGATCTGCGAAAAATGGAAAAGATCTTTTAACATACGGCAAAGAGATATAAAAAATTTAAGTAGCCATACATTTCTCCTTGAATGGACGAAGTTGTCCGATGCAAGAGCTTCAGAATTGGTAAGTAGCCATGAGCTATTTATTTGTATATGGATACTAATGTTTCGTTTTAGGTCAACATTGATTTCGATATTATGTATCCACAGAAAGGCAATCTTCTACTTTCTAAATGGGACCAATTTAAGAAAAAAATTTACAATTATTATGGGAAAAATATTCATAACGAACATTGCAAACAACTCTTCGCAAATGTTTTGACGGCAAGCAGCATAGGTAAATTTTAATTCCTGATTTATCATAAACATTAAAAGTAATATTTATTTTATATTTCGGTTGCAGATGCTCAAGATTATATATACGCAATACTGTTGAATTCAGTTTTACCATCACCTGCTAGGTTTAAATGTGGAAACGGTAAATTACGAAAAAAAGTAACAATAGCTGATTCGCAGGAAAGTTTCGTACTGCGACTACCGACAATTAACGATTATAAAAGGCAAATTGATACAGTCACTGAAAAGTATTACAATGCTGGATTAACTATACAGCCATTTATAATTGTGGAGGGTTTGTCCGATTTCAATATAAAAGGTTTTTATGTTTTTTTTAACCACAATTTGTTAAAATTTCAATCGTTCCTCGAATGTTTAGATACATGTTTTAAAATTTTTCATGCACTTTCTTTAAAATATCCAAATGCCTGCCAAATTCCATGGATTTTTATCCAAAAATATTTTTATGAAATTAATACTGTATATGATATAAAATCAGTTAATTTGACTTCACTTATTAATTTCTGCAACAATAATTAAAGTACAATTCAAAATGTATATTTGCTTTCGTTGCCGTAAGCATTTTGATAAGGCAAATCTTTTAATAGCTCATTTGAAAACAGACCATTTAATGTCCACTAAATTTTTAAAAGTACAATGCGTTCAGGACAACTGTAAGCAAACATTTACAAAATTTACGTCATTCAGAATTCATTTAGAAAAACTTCACAAGAATCACACAAAAGCTCCACCAATGGTTAAAGCCATTAATGTGCCAGTTGAAATGTCATCATCAAAAGAAAATGATTATACAAACAGTGAAACTGTTATTAACAACAATACAATAGAAAAGGATTTAAATGTTTTGAAAAAGAAAACCTTATATCTGTCTTTACAATTACATGGTCAAAGCTATATGCCTAGAAATCATGTTATAGAAATACAACATTCTGTTTCAATTCTGCTTTCATCCATTTCATGTACAATTGAAAAATATATAACTGATCATCCAAATTATGAAGACTTAAGGTACTTACTAAACTTTTGTAAAAATCCTTTCGAAGAAACTAGAACGGAATATAGACTTTTAAAAATTTTAAAAGAACTAAACTTTTATGATGATCCAAAGGTTTATGTAATTAGCAATCAAGTCTCGGAAATTGTTATCAGCGGAAATCCCAGTTTAGGTCCAAAGTTATCCAATATTTATATAATGCCACTGAAATTCATGATAAGTGCCCTTTTTAAAATTCCAAATCTCTTAGATTTGACATTAGAAAACTCCAAAAAATTCCTAAATTCACCTGTTTTACAAAATTTTACAAACGGTGAGTTATATAAAACTAAATTATTAAAATATCAGTACAATTTAGTTATTCCCTATGTCCTTTACATGGATGATTTTCAAATTAATAATCCTCTTGGAACCCATACATTTTCCATATGTGGTTGTTATATTAGCTTTCCTTCAATGCCACAGCACTTGTTGTCAAAACTTGATTATATATTAACTGCTGCGTTTATACCATCAAAGGATTTAAAAGAACGTGGAAATGAAGTTTCATTTCACAATCTTGTAGAAGAGTTAAAAATTCTAGAAGAAGGGGTTGAAATTTGTGTTCAACAAAGTGTTCAGAAGGTGCATTTTATTTTAGGTGTAATTATTGGAGATAATTTAGCAGTTAATAGTATTTTAGGCTACGTGCAATCATTTAACTCTAAAAGATTTTGCCGGGTATGTAGAAGAAAAAAGTCCCAAATGCAATTCGACGCAATTCAGCATTTAGATAGTTTAAGAAACCAAGAGAATTACAACTCAAATGTATTGGAAAATAATTTTCAAGAAACAGGTATTAAAAACAAGTGTATCTTCGAATCTTTACCAAATTTTAACGTCACTGAAAATTTTTGTTTTGATATTATGCATGACATTTTCGAGGGCATATGTGTCTACGATATGTCTAATGTAATTCTCGGGCTGATTCAAGAAAATATTGTTACGTTAGATTGTATTAACAGCAGAAAATCTTTATTCCAATTTGGAGAAATTGAAGTGGGAAATAAATCTGGACCACTAGATTTATGTAGATTGAAAAACTATAACTTAAAAATGACAGCTAGTGAAACTATGTGTTTTACTAATTTTTTACCTTTAATGGTAGGCGATTTAATTCCTTTCTCCAACGATCACTGGAAAGTTTTTATAATATTATTACAAATAATCGATTTACTTTTAAGACCAAGTTATATAGAAGACGATTTAATAAAATTGGAAGAATTAATTAGAGATCACCATTCACTTTATATAACATTATACGGTTCGTTAAAACCGAAACACCACTTTCTTGTCCACTATCCCACAGCTATCCGAAAATGTGGTCCCCTTAAATATCTCTGGAGCATGAGATTCGAAGCTAAACACAAGGAAGCAAAAGCCTATTTAGGAAATACTACATCAAGAGTAAATCCCTGTCGTTCATTATCTATTAAGTCTGGATTGAAATTTTCCAATTTTTTATTAAAACACGAAGATAACTTAGAACCAAATGTTATCATTAATACGCATACCATCGAAGATTTGGCAAAAGAGGAATATTGTTACAAAAAAAGTAAGCCAGTTTTAAATTACCAAAATTGCAAAGTGTCTGATGACATTTTTTTTAAGGGAACTAGGTATAAAAAAAACTATTATTTAGCAACAAATAATGCCGCAATTGAACTTTTCAAAATTAAACATTTAATAATTGAAAATGAAAATGTTTACATTTTATGTAACCAAGTAAAAGTTAAAAACTTTGATTACCATTTACAATCGTATGAAGTTGGTTCTCTGAATGAGGATACAATTTTTTTAATACCAATTTTAGATTTTATTACTTACCCATTTCACTTATATCCTATGAATAATGGAAAAGTTTATTTCAGATTTAAGTTAATTTAATTTGTTTCTATACATTGAATATATGTAATTCGAATTGTTTTGTTAAATCAAATATGTATTTATATTGAATTTATGTAATTGGTTTCGTTCAATAAAATACTTTTCAAAAAATGTCGTTTCTTCTACTAAGGGTATAAAATGGAAAAGGAACGGATATCAAAAAATGACCACCATTGATTTCAATCTGACAACGGGCGTTGACAATCCGACAACGGAGCGTTGACAATCTGACAACGAAGCGTTGACGATCTGACAACGAAGCGTTGACAATCTGACAACGGGGCGTGCTCGAAATGACCACGTATGTGCTCATTTCATGCACATCTGTTGTTGAAATCGTTGCCAAAATCTCGGTGTCAAAATGACAACAGCGTGCTCATTTTGACACCAAACGTGGTTGATACACTATCATACACGGATGTGGTCATTTCATACACGGATGTTGTCATTTTTTCTCTGGGTGTAGGTAATAAACTTACACCTCTTTACACCGAAGAGGAAGTTGGAAAAGACCTGGGTACCACCGTTCTCATAAGGGGGAGGAGGGTCCATAAGGACAATCTCCGCTGAATTTTCTTCCTTTCTAGAATTCCTTTCACAATTAGCGGGAGACGAATTTAAAAAAAAAATTATAACTTACGTTTTCAGAATCGCTTTAAAATTGGTTATAGCCATATTGGTATCAGCAACATCTGGACGACTAATAGACTACTCAAATGCAGGATACATTCCGGTGACCGGTGGTGACCTTGTTATCTGGGAAAGTTATGGACACATCAAACATGTTACGAACCTGACTCTGTACGAACGACTATATTGCAGGGACCCCAGACCATGACGACTTTGACAGACTAACAAACAAGGCAGAACAACTAATCGACTCCCAGGACAGACAGTTTACTATCAACACGGAGGTACAGAAAGAAATTAATAGTCTCACCATTACAGTAAATAAAATCTTGAAGACAGAAAAACACAGAGAAATAGACACTAGCCACCTTTACGATATTCTATTAGCTAGAAACAGAGCAATAATAACAGACTTAGACAATCTTATCACTTCTATCACATTCGCAAAAATTGGAGTCTTGAACCCCATCCTTTTAGACAGTAACGAAATAAACTTCATAATAAAAAATGAGCACTTCACGAACCTCTCCGTGGCCGATGTTATGGCTGTAGCTAATATTAAGATTTTGCAATACGATAATGTAATTTACTTCCTAATAAGATATCCTATTCCTAAGCTTAGATGTAAGAAAATTACTATTTTACCAGTAGCTCACGGCCACCAAATGCTCCACCTACAAGAATCTACCTTAGCGGTATGCCATAATCGTACCTTTGCGGTAAGGAACTGCAGCGACACGATACCAACTTTTTGCCTACCGTCATCAGCCACATCATGCGCTCTACAACTACTGACACGTAACACTGCAAGCTGCAGCACCACATTCAACAATCTCACGCCGATTACACCAATAGGCGATGGATTGGTAGTCATAAATGACCAACTGGCAATAGTAGAAGAAAGTAATGAAGCTCCTGTTACAATTAATAGCATCTATCTGCACCACGCGAACCAACGGAACCTCCAACACATCCGCCATTTACAACGTTTGGTCGATCAGGGCCAAATCGCAGGTTTATCAACCATTGGTGGTTTTGCGATTGTGGGACTGGCAGGTTACCTATTACGACGAAGAACCATCACAAAAAAGAAGATCATCATAACCAGGTCAGTTGAAGATGCAATCAAAAACGCTATTACGAGGACCGAGGACGGCCCCCACTTAGAAGGGGAGGAGTTATCATGAGGAACCATCGTGTTCCCGTATTCCCACAGTTTGGCTGCACTAAAGCAACCAAAAACCCTACACGAGCTGCTAAGTCAGCGCATTAAACACCTTATTCATTTGGTTGCACCCAAACCAACTACTTACAACCATTCATGGGAAACCTTCATGCTCCCGTATTCCCACAAGTAACACGAGCCGCCTATTCAACACCCCACTGCAGGTTAATAGCCCAATATTCTACACGGGCCACTGTGTCAGCAAGAAATGCAATGGCAACGTTGGCAGAGCGACAGCGGCGCAGCATAATGTGGTGGCTTAGTTTTAAGTAACAGCATTATTGTAAGTTCAGCTTTTAACTCATACTCAATGAATATAGTTTAATCCATTCATTTTGATTAATTTGCATACAAAGTTTTCACGACGAAAATTAAATAAAGACTCACACAAAGCAGTGTGGCGAAGTAGTTTGTACCCTACCAAATAAGAAGGATGCCGTGTTGAAATTCTCGAATCATAAAAAAAAGGAAAAATCGACTTTTGTTTTTTATGCTGACTCTGAGAGCATACAAGAGGATGTACCAGAAGATGAGAACAGCACATAGAGATCTAAGTGTAACATCGTCATTTAACATAGATATACACTAAGATGTTATAATTCTACAGTCTAGAGTATCACTAAATTTCAAAAAATTAAATTTTCCACTGTCTCTTTAAAATGAAAATAAGTCAATCATTGGACCATATTATCTGACAAAGGAGATAAACCTATCACGTTAATCTTCCATAATAAAGAAAATGTCCATTAGATTTGGGTTATGGATATGTCGTGGTAATAAATAATATTTGTTCTTTCTTCCTGTCTTTTGCGGTCTCAGCTAACAAACCATAAGAAGAAAGCTTATTTTTGTATCGGATGCTTACAATGTTTTCACGACGAAAATAAAATAAGGACTCACACAAAGCAGTGTGGAGAAGTAGTTTGGAAGGGTGCTGTGTTGAATTTCGTAAATCATAAGAAAACGAAAAAAGGGGGCTTTTGTTATTTATGCTGACTCTGAGAGCATACAAGAGAATGTACCAGAAGATGAGAACAGCACATAGAGATCTAAGTGTAACATCGTCATTTAACATAGATATAAACCAAGATGTTATAATTCCACAGTCTAGAGTATCACTAAATTTCAAAAAAATAAATTTCCCACTGTCTCTTTAAAATGAAAATAAGTCATTCATTGGACCATATTATCTGACAAAGAAGATAAACCAATCACGTTAATCTTCCATAATGAAGAAAATGTCCATTACATTTGGGTTATGGATATGTCGTGGTAA